AAAAAAAAAAAAAAAAAAAAAAAAGAAAGAAAGAGAAAGACTAAAAGGAGGTGTGGTGGCACACACCTGCAATCTCAGCTACTTGGGAGGCTGGAGCAAGAGGATCTCAAGTTCCAGCCCAGCCTGGGCAACTCAACAAGACCCTGCCCTAATATATATTAAAAAAAAATTAAATGAGCTCTTGGAAGGAAGCCCAGTGTGAAGGCCCGGGATTCAATTTCCAGTACTGGAAAAAACAGAAGCGGGGCACGGTGGCACACAACTGTTACATTAGAACTCTGAGAGGCTGAGGCAGGAAGATCTAAAGTTCAAACTCGGCCTGGGTAATTTAGCGACTTAGCTGAGACCCTGTCTCGAAAGAAAGTTAAGTTTTACTTTTATTTATTTATTTATTCTGGTACCGGGGATCGAGCTCGGGACGCTGCGCTTGCGAAGCAGGCGACAGAACCACTGAGCTACATCCCCGGCTCAAAAGAAAATGTTTTATAAGGCTGGGGATGTAGCTCAGTGCGAAAGGGCTAGGTTCAATCCCCAGTGCCACTAAAGGAAAAGACAGACAAGGAAAACAAAAAGCCAGCACACACCAGGTTCTTCCAACTCCTCATCCGATGTTACCTTTTCCGGATTTTCCTTCCAGATCGTGACTTGAGCACACGTTGTGCGCATGCCTAGCACGTTCAGATCGCCACCTCCGCGCACTTCCCTCCATCGAGACCCCTCAACCCTGGGCGCCCGCGGCGCATCTCAGCATCCCTCAGTCCAACCTCTACCTCGGTTCTGCCTCTCCGAGAACGTCCGCAGGAACCAGCTGTCACCGAAAGCGATCCCCAAAATGTCACACTGGCCTCCCCGCCCGCCCGAAGCATCTTGCTCAGGACTTGCTCCCAACAGGTCCTCCCCGCCCAGTACCTTCCTGCGCAGGTGACCTCGCTGCTCTCCCGCGTCGCGCCTCCTCCCCTGGCCCAGCCCTTCAGGACCCTTTACTTCCTGCCTCCCCCAAACCTTGCTCCCGCCCCCGGGCGCGCGGGGTACCAG